GGAAAAGAGTCTTCTTTTCCACGGTGGGTGTTAAGGGTTTTCGTTCTCTCTCTCTCTTATAAATGGTCGCATGCTTTGTGCACATAATATACGAAGCATTTTTGAATGTTCTAGTTAGAGTAAGGACAGAATTAGGGGCTTCTTGCCTTTGATGTACACGGCTCACGATGCTTGCAATGCCTACAATCAAAACGTCAACACCTACCCCTAACCAGTTTGAATTGTCGCCAGAGGAGTCACGTCAACCTTACCCCTCCTCCCATCCCATCCCCGTCCATAGTCACCTCTGCCCCCAAAACCTCTAGTGCGACATTTCCAGTTTGAAATTCCATCCAGGTCCACGTTAACATATGGAAAGAGGTCTTTAAAGTTGTATAAGTCGTGCATGACTTCCTAATCAAGAACAAAGTACTGATTTATAATCACTAATATCAAACCTAGACATATTTTGCGTTTCAAGCTTACCACAAGTTACTATACAGTACGAAACCTTACTACTTACAGTCTTTACTACAAAATTAGGAAAAACAATACATTTTCAGTGCTAACTATTTTTATCGATCACCCGATATAGACAGAGTTATTTCTAATTTAGTTGCAAAATAGTTTGAAGGCAAGTTTTTGAGTGCCCTGACGACACGCAATCCAGGACTAATAATTACTGCTTGCGGAATAAACTCGACTTCTTCTCAATGCTGATAGTGTTTACAATATCTTCCAACACATGTTCTTCCAAAGAATACTGTCTAGATTTCATGATTTTAGACAAATAATTTGTAATATTATCCGTCTTGCCAAATAGCTTATGGATTATGCATGCGTAATCGATATTGCAAGCTAGCGTTATTCAATCAGTACCCGCAATCCATTCATTTCTGTCAAATTCACGTTACCTAGTGTTATTTGCATCACACATTCGGTGACCTTCTTTGGTGAGCTTTACTCGTAAGCGTAACAAGTTTTTTTAATATTAACAATACAATAAACTGTGCGATTGGGCGTTACCGTTTCATAGCAATTTTCGTCAGTCCTACCCGACAGAACAACAATCCCATTGCTCAGTGATAAGGGCGTTTGATGTATAATTAACAGGTCGTGGTTTCGAGTCTCAAAAGTCGCAACAGCCGGGGATGAGTAGAACTATATGTTACTGGTTTATCAGTCAGTAAAGTCAGTTATGTGATACTCAGTGAAGTAAATTTATTCAGGGTACATTCGATGGACAACGAATTTGGTGTGTTATTCTTCCTGATAGGGACTACTTTTGTGACATGGCATGAAACTAGAGACCTTCGGCTATACCTGTGGCTTTCAGCAACATTCCTCCGTTGTGATTAGGGATTATAATATTTTTATGGTTACCGTTACTGGTATGAATACTGCTAGTATTAGGTCCTAATCATATTTTATCTTTTTCGAGTTAACAATAAGGTCACTAGTATAATCTGAGGGACAGGTTGGTACTTACAACTTCAAACCTACATTCACGCGTTGCATACGTAAGAGAATCAAATTCATTTAAAGAGCTGTTCTTTTTGTGTTACAAATTATACTTTTTCATTATTTGCTACCCACAACTATCTGCGGGGGTTCTATACAAAGAATAAATCAGAGATCCATATTTGCTTGCTATGTTTTTGCCTACGTGAACCAATTATAAATGTGATTTAATAATTGGTTGTTGTTATTTCAAATAAAGTTAAACCTGCCCGTCATTTATTCTAACTGAAAAATATGTATCTATAGTGTGATATGCATGCTCTTAAAAATGCCTTTACTTTGTTCATTAATATTATAAAATGGTTTATGCAAAATTGTTTGTTTCTGCGTAAATGGTTTTTTTCTGTCTACTGCTTGAGGTATTTTTCTTTTACCAATCCATAAAAACGGTGGTTACCCTTCTTGTTAATATACTGAACTTCTAACTTGTGCAATTTTGCAAAATAGTGTCACGCCCTAAAAGTCTAAAAATGCCCCTGAAAAGTCCTATCGGAATGAAAATATCTGATTAATATTTGGCTTTCAGTATATTATCGGTGTTAAAATTGGGTTCTTTCTATAATATAATTCTCAAAAATATGAACCTTATATGCCCTCTAAACTTAATCAATGTTTAAAACATTGTGGTATGTTATATCTGATTTGCATATGTGAAAAATTGCAGATGGTTATTAAAAACAATTCACTGAATTTTATATGCTAGGTTGGCCTCTTATGGGAAGCAAACTTTAAGGTAATTGCACAAACGTGTTCACCGACTGCCTACTACTTTTGGTCATTCAATTAGCCCGGCTGTGTTCTAGGGTCAGAAGCGAATTTGACCACTGAGATGTCTGTGTGTCACACGCCATTCTCGGTCTTTGATTGGTCCGTTAGCCATCTCGTTTTGGGGACCAATGGGTGCGCCTGATGTGATTATTTTTTCCGTATTTGCATTTACCTAGAGGGGTGCGTCATTCCTCTGATGATATGACTACACTGTACTACATGGCAGCGGTTCTGTTTCTAGTATTGTTAGCTGGTACCCGCAGCGCCGCAGTCACTAATGGGAATATTGAATTTGGTTTTTATCCGGCTAGGATTCCGACGCCGCAAGAGCCAGATCCCGTTAGGGCTGGCTGGGAAAAGTTGGAGGAGGGAGGAACACTGCATGGCCGCGTCGGGGACGGGTCCGCAGGCGAAAAGTTAAGAAAAGGCGCAACCCAGCGGGAGCGGCTAATTGATATGCTTTTTATGAATTACAAGACCCACGAGCGACCCACGGAAGGACTGGACGCAGCCACCATTGTCAAGGTGAACCTACAAATACAGGCTATCTTCTCCATCGAAGTACAGACCATGGACTACTATATGGACACGCTGCTGCGACAGACCTGGACTGATCCACGTCTCAGGTGGGACCACCTGCCCGAGTTTAAGAACTTTACGCAACCCCTCGTTTCACCCATGCTCAAATCGCAGTTATGGCTGCCAGATCTGTTCTTTCGCAATGGCAAAGATGGCTATCTGCATAAGATTACCCTCCCCAACGACC